AAGGCTTCGGGGAGGCTGACCTTTGCGGACGGACACGCAAGGGTGCCGCACGCCTTAGGCAAAATCAGCTAAGGTCGTGACAGCGTGGCCCATCCGCAGTCGTCGGATCAATCAACCCAAGGCATGAGTTTAATGGCTTGGGAAACAAGCGAGAGAATAGTTTAATGGCTTGGGAAATGTTTATGTTTATAAGCAATTTAGTATAGCTCCAAATGAAAAAAAATTAGAAAATAATTTAAAATCATATTGATATACAAAGGAGTTCTAGGTGTAGATGCATTATGTGGATGAGGAGAATCAATTGTGATTTAGTAGTGGAAGAGAGAGAGAGAGAGAGAGAGAGAGGTATCTATGAGAATTTTTTACTTTTAGTATAACTGGTAATATCACTCTAAAAAGAATTAAAAAGAGAGGTATCTATGAGGACGAGGACGTACCCATCAAGCCGCGTGGCCCATCCGCAGTTGTCGGATCAATCAACCCAAGGCATGAGTTTAATGGCTTGGGAAACAAGCGAGAGAATAGTCGCCGGTCAAGCTCGACCCGCGCGTAGCCTTGTTCAACAACGGTGGGGCATCCGACGATGTCGTGGGGCGACACCTCCTTCCTTGAAGCTTCCGGATGAAAGAGATAGGATACACTACACTTCTGTGTCTCTCTCCCTCGTGTCGCTATTCCTTTTTTTTGCGTCGTCATCGTCAACACCATAATACACTATATAAATAGACTAAGCGATCTGCTGAGACCAGGCTGCTCCTCTCCTTCCATCCTCAAACTGGAGCTGCTCCTTAGGCGATAAGGTAAAGTCTCTGTCGCTTTCTCGCTTAATTCCTTTTAACTTCTCCACGGATCTCAAGCTCGTAACTTAATCGTTCTGTTGACTTCATGTCTCATTAATCAAGATCTGATTTTTTTCCTAAAATTCCTCTCATCATCCCTCACTTCTCATTTGTGCTTTGATTTTTTGGGTCAATTCTCACAGTTCGAGATTTCTTGCTGATCAGTTTCTTGTTGGGTTTTCTTTTCTTAGTATTTAGGATCCAATATTTTAGATTCTTCATGTATTAGAAGATTAGAAGAGTTTATCCTTGATCTATTGTCTTTTTGAGGTGTTAGAATCTTATCATATATGAAAACCCTTTAGGTAACAGTAGTTATATGCTATGATTGTAGCGAGATCTGAGGTTATCTGTTCCATTTGATGGTTGTTTTCTCCTTCACCGTGTTAACATAGGTATATATCTGCGTTGTTCTTTTCTTGTTCTTGGATATTTGCTCTTCTTTGTGAACGAGGAACACTTTAGGCTGCAATCATGCTTAAGTTTATTTTAGAAATATGTTTGTATGTATTTATTTTTATACAGAGTGTAAAATCGTTGCTTGATTGTAGGAAATTGGTGTACTCAGCTATAAAAAATGACCGATAGCAGTGAGATGGATTCCCTGGTAGTTCCTGAATTATCTCCAGATATGGTACTCGGCTATATTAGTCAAATTCTTATGGAAGAGGACATGGATGACAAATTCGATGTGCTTCATCGGCTTCGTCACCACGCTCCTCGTCTTCGGCAAGCTCTACCGCCATCGGGCCGGCGGGGCTTGATCCGACACTTCCGCCGCCTCCCGATCCATGGGCATTCACAGCTGTGACTCCGTACACTTTGGTTGCTTGCTTTGATTCTCTTTGCTGAATCGTCCCTCTTGTTCTGTCTTTTGGGTGCTTTTACTTTTTGCTGTTCTGATCTTAGCGCATGGATGAAGCGTACTTGAGAACAGGTTTCTCTTCTTGCAGGTGTATGCAAAGTTCTGCAATGATCTGTTAACATATACCTCTTCATTTGTTGCTTCAGATTTTGTTCATCCAGTGGGAGTATTCTTGAGAAGGGAACTGATTTAGTCCTATGCTTAATGAAACAATTAATGTAATGCTCTATCTACATCATGTTTGGATCTGATTAAGGCTTATAACCAAGAAGCAAATCCAATTCTCTTAGTACTCTCCATGTCAGTTGAATCTTAGCACTCTGGCTGTTTACTTTGATTGTCCATTGCACCTAGTTCGATAGATTCAGTACAGTATCATTCGTGTGACACCAAGAAAAAGTGTTGTGGTTCTTGGTCGAATTGTTTGTTGTGGAGTTGTGAGGCTGATTTATAAAGAGACTTTACTGAAGCTGAGGATGGTTTCATTGTGTTTTGATTAATGATTATAGCTACAGTCTCCATTTTTCTTGTCAGCTCCTTAATGCCTCAAGAACAAGAAGCTCAATGATCTTCTCTGGAATCGAAAGGGGTAGAAGCAATTGGCAATTAAGAAGTGTAGAGTTAGGAAAGATTCATTGGTAATAACCTTTAGGTACTCTTTATACACTGGTAGACAGAGTATCTTCTTCGATAGGTGACGCTTGGAATTTAAGAGGCCTTCATGCTTGCTCTTTTGATGCCAACTCAGTCCTATTAATGTGGCATGCTGATTAAGGTAAGGGACTTTCGATTGGGTTTTATGTGGTGACTTGTTCCAAATATCTATATTCTGGAGGCTATGTGTTAGATTAAATAAGAGAAACAAAGTTGTATCGAATACCGACCAAAAGAAAAGAGACTGGCATCAAGTAAGTAATCATTTTGTCTTTAATCTTGTGATTTTTAGATAGAGCTACTACAGCAAAGATTCAGTTCTCTTCTAAGGAAAGTTGGAAAATTAAAAAAACATACTATGTAATGATTGAACATGAGGATGGTGTTTATGTAAAGTAGATAACATTGGAGAGTAGCCAAAGAAATTGGAAAGCTAGGTTAGTTTCTGGTTTCAAAGATTTCTCTAATATATCTTATCATAATTCTTGGTTTAACTTAAATGGCTGTTGAATAGCTACTTAGTGGATTGGTGAAAACCAATCCAAATTTCTTTTCCTATTTGACGAGAGCCAGTTGTGTTTCTGAATATGTATCTGTTACATATTCACCTTAGGACTGCAAAGTTGGTTGCTTGAAATTTGATACAGGGATACAGAAATGATTTGAGATCAATTGATATCCAATATGAAATCCTGTTCAAGACATTACGAGTACCTTAAATAACCTGATGATGCATAAAGTGGTGTGCTCATGTGCAACTCAAATGGCTGAACAATTATGGCATAAACTTCAAAGTAAAGCACAAAGAGAATTCCCAAATATCTTTGTTAACTTGAGGTTTTCTTGCTAGATGATAAAAGAAGGCGAGAATTTCTTTTGTAAGAAGATCTTTAGGATTTATTACGGATCATCATGTCATGTTGATCTGAAAGGAAAATTTATTAAAAGTTTGAGTACAGGTTAGATTTTGTGGATATGTGCTTGATATCAAAACATACCTAGAGCAAAGTTACCTTGATCTGTCTGCCTGAGAAGTTGAAGTAGACTATGAAAAGTGTATGATATCGGTATGATAATGCTCAGTGGGTTCACTTCTTGCAAAGGTTGTAAATCAATGCTGAATTGCCTTTTGGATGTTTGGAATACAAGTGGTTCTTTTGCTAGATTGTACTTGTATAGTTAAAATGCTGTGCTATTTTTAGCTTTTCAATTTCCAATTTTCATTTTTCAATTTTCAATTTTCAATTTTCAATTTTTTCACATGAAGCAGGATTGCTTTGCTCATCAAATGACTGAAAGATCTGTTCCACATCTTTGTTATTTTATCATTTGTTGTTTTCCTTTAAGCGATGTATTTATAAAAATTATTTTCATCCAGTAATATTGTGGTACAACTTCATGCTTTATATCTTTATATCCTACTGTCTTAACATGCTTGAAGAGACTTCTCCAGTCTGATTTAAATTCAAGTTTATGATGTTCACGAGGTCAGCTACTTCCAGTTGTTCAAAGTTAATTCCTGAGAGACCATTGCCATTTTTTCCTGCAGAGCCAACATCTTTGTATACTTTCCTTCCAAGTATAATTATGTTTGAAGTGTACTCCTCTGCTTGAACCAGTCTTCACAGGCAACCACAACAATGAAGAAATGTAAAGGTTATCAAGGTTTGTCTCCTTCAGAAGTTTACTTGTGCCAATTAAACCTTGCATTTACAGCTCAATACAAGTTTCATTGTTGGTTGTGGTTCATGCAGGTCTATAAGACTTTTCCTTTCTCATTCCAATATGATATGGTCAATTTGCAACTTGTATTACACATCTAAAAGAAGACAGTTTGGTCAGCCAGTACTTTAGTTGTTGCTTAGCTTCTTGTGGTTGGTTTAACTGAGTTGCTTAAGCTCAGCTGTACTCGAGCTTTATGATATGGTTTACTATATTGTTATTATTTATTATTCACAGAACATATCTTTATCAAATTAAAGATCAACAAAATGTATGGTAGATTCCAATATGACTGACAATCTATGAACACTGATTATGACAGCATACCTAAAGAATAAATATGCCATCCCTTTATTTAGGAATTATTATTTTGAAGTTGAAAGAAATGACAGGATTTTATTTTCAGATCTTATGATAATCTGAAAATATTTTTAGTTGATCAGCACATTCAAAAAATTTATATCGAAAAACATCATGC